CGGAGAACGGGCAGCCCGGCCAACAGAAGTGGGTGCAGTCCGTAGATCACCTCGCCCCCGGGTAACCACACTTGCGGTAGATCTCCTCGACCTTCTTGAATTCATCCCGCCCGGGAGTTTCACCCAAGTGTCCCAGAGGCCTTCGGAAAACTTCTCGCAGAAATGGTGGAAAGAAGTCTCTGCGGTCATGCGGCTCATCAGAGAGAAGGAAGCGACGTCCTGGAAGCAGCAACCCGACGCCAACACCTTCAAAGTACCCAGCACCTATGAATGATACAGCAGTACAGGGGGCACACACAACGGCGGGCGGCGGCGGCGGCGGCGGGGGGTTGTAAGCTGTCATGCGAAGGGAATGTATACTCTTTTACCAAGCTGTGGCTCGAATGTATGCTCTTGTATCATCGAGAGAGTTGCAGAGCTTTGCGGGAGACGACGAGTGGGCAAGTACAGCAGTAGGGGTGTGTCGGTGTGTTGAGGATTTTTGCAGCAGAGTGCGTACCATTTTGACGGTATTGGCTTGCTGCTGCAGCTCCGCGCACGTGTGTTACCTCGAGGGCGTCACACACCTGCCATGCGAAGGAAATGCATACTCTTCTACCAAGCTGTGACTCGCTCATGGAACGAGCACAAAGTGCAATCCCTCGCACATCCATCGGCTTTGTTGAATGTAGTACTGCTGCTTCCATCATACTTGCACGGGCTACTTTTCGAGAGTGTCGACACCGAGTGTGACACCTCGGCCAGCAGCGCCGTGCAGACGTAGTTGGAGAGGGAGTGCGCTTCTTTATCATCTACAGCATCTGGTCAAAAATTGCAAACTATTATAGTGTCCTCTCTACGGTACACACGACGCGGTTCGTTTGTGCACGCAGCAGCAGAGTACGTACCCTTTTTGCGATCTTTGCTTACTGCTCAACTCCGCGCACGTGTGCTACTTCGAGGGCGTGCTACTTCGAGGGTGTAACACCCCGTGAGCTTAGGTACAAGTTCAGCAGTACTTGTAACAGTATACACATTGGTCTGTTCCTCTAGACCGAGGGCACCGATTGTCCAGCAGCGCTGACGTGCACTTGAAGTAAAAACTACAGCGGGCGGTGGTTGTGAACTTCTCGACAAAAATACAACAGCGCGCTGCAGCTTCTCACCGAGCAGCATACAGACTTCACTTCAACAGCAGCTTACATCAGCCTACACACCTTGAGTTCCACGGGTGGGCAATCCCTGCCCGCGACGTCTCTGACTGAAGACGGGAAGATGGAGGTGACCGTCTGCATGATGCTCTCGAACAACACGAAAGGGATGCGGAAGGTGCCGGCAAACTGCACAGCTTCTCGACATTCCGGGTCCAGCCCCTCCTCCGCAGCATTCAGCTCTCGCAGCTTCAGTACCCACTTCCCCCAGGTTGACCGCCAGTATTCCGGGCGAGGGTAGGAGCGCCGGATGTGCTTCTCGCGCTCCTCCTCCTCCTCCTCCTCCTCCTCCTCCACCCGCAGATCGCCGAACAAACCACCCGGTTCTTGGTCATCATGCTCACCATCGGAGTCGAACGTGTGCATAATGTTCTGCAAACTCGATGCTGCGGCAGCAGCCCCGGCCATTATGGACTCCTCATCCATGTTGGGCGTGGCCTTCTCGTCGGCGCGGCCTTCTCGTGAGTGTGTGTGTAGATGTGTTCGTGTGTTCTTGTGTTGTTGGGGTGTGTTCGTGTGTGTTGGCGGCGTATGTGCCGAAAACGCGGCGCTACTTGCCTTTTCCGCCGCCCAAACATTTTCGCGACCTGCCCCATCTCAAAATGTTTGTCAAACATTTTGTCAAACGAGCGACTTTTGCCCCATTTCAAAATCTTTGAGAATATTTTGCCGAAGATTTCCTCCCATAAAAAGTGAAACAAAATCTTTATCCGCAAATGTTTGAAAATTTAGACATATTTTCAAAGATTTGGTGACCATAAACATGGGCCTGAGACAACGAGGGTTCACACTCATCTCTGCCAATTTACTCAGAATTTTAATAGTCTGCCTGTGAGGAGAACGCACCACTCGTCTAGTAGCAGCACCAACCGCTGGTGGGTTTCAAGACTAGGCGCGTACAGAAGTACCTCAACACACCTCGACATCGACTTCCTCCTCACGGGCAAGCATGCTGGTGCTGGTGCTGGTGCTGGCGCTGCTCTATCCTCGTGGTGTCACCGAAGCCGGCAGGTAGATGTACTTCTAGTACCAGTAGTGGATTCGCAGGGCTGGACTTTCGTTCGAGAGGGAGGAACAGAGGGAGCGGAAGCCTTTCGGAGGGGGGTAGGAATGGTGGAAGAGAGGGGTAAAGAGAGAGACGTGGGTCGCCGTATGGAAATGCATCAAGTATGGAACAGGGAGCAAATGCAGGCGAAGGTGGCAACTTGCACACAAGGGGGCAGCCTTTCCAAGACACTATCACGGGAGGAAGAGGTGATGATGCACAACTGTTCAGGGCGTCCTACTATGACATGATCACAACCGTTCCCAGCTACTTACCTTTCAAGGTGATGAACAGGGATGGCTCGTAGCTGTTGGTGAGCGCAGGAGCAGTGCAAGCCAATGCGATCCTCGATCGATCAAACCCGACAATCGTTCCGTGGGGGCTTCGCAGAAAATACCATAGGCGACTAGGGTATGAAGATTTACGGAAAATTCAGATACTGCAGGGGGCGTTACCAACCGACAGGGAACAGAGAAAGATAGACCAGTCATCTAACACGACGCAGGGGGAGAGGGTCCCTCAACGGAGACTTGTGAGCCGTCCGTGGGCAATTGTTGGCACTGAGGAAGGAGTGGCGGCAACGCCTGCTCGCAACGACATCTGGAGCCAGCCCTAATCGCCTTGGAACGAGAAGACAGAGATAGAGAGGAAAAAAGGTGTGAGAGAGCGGAAGAGCTTTTTTTGTTTGGCGCGGGGGCCGGGCTGCGTGTACCGCGAGAGAGGGCGGTAGTACCAAGGTTAGTGGACGGGCCATGAAGAGGTTTACCGGCTGGAGAAGCTCCGCGGCAGAGGACGACGGCCAGCAGGCGTCGCCGCCGGAGCACTCCCCGACGAGGTCCCAGCTCTCGAACCACTCGACCAGCAGCCGGGGGGCCAGCAGCAGCCTCCGATCGGCCTATACGGCATCGAAGTCAAGGGAGCAAAGCCCTGCTCGATTCGGGGCCGCGTCCGCCGACACGCTAGGTGCGGCCACGGGCAGCAGCGGCGGGCCCGTGGTTGCCGTGTCGAGCAAGAAGATGCTCAAGATCGGAGCGAACGTGCGGTTTCGCGGGGACGTGATGGAGTGCAACACGGTCGTCCTGTGCGGCCGACTACAGGTAGGTGTGTGTTCGTGTGTGCGGGTTGTCTGGTCCTTTGTTTCGCAAACTGCTGCGGCAGCTTGTGTTTATAAAAACGTTCTAGGTTTCTTTAGGGGCCCATCAATCGGCAACATGTCAAAGGCAGAACTGCAAGGGCACCCGCGGGCCACCCCTACCCCCCCCCTTTAGCACCGAGAGCAGCTGGCGGAGAGAGTAGCGTGACGATTTTTTTCGCACAGACTGAAATATAGGCAGGTATAGCGGTACCACCGCCGTTTATCGGCGACCCAGACACACCACAGAGTCTCGAACCGATCAACACCTTTGCTTTTCAGTCGTTTTTTTCATAATGTTGGGTCGGAGCATCATCTCTCTCTAGGGCACCTTTGGGCGGTGGTGTTTCAGCAGCGGCCTCGTGCCCCTCCCTCACTGCCGACCCGGTGCGTTCGCAACTCAGAGCGATTCGCTACTGCCCCAACCATTTTTTTCCGCGTCGTGGAATAGATATACGTTTTCCGAGCATGAGAGTCTTGCTCTGCATCTCCCCTGCTGTCGGGCTTTTCGGTGTTGCTGTTCATGTGAATTTTTGAACCCCTCCTGCATCCCGCCGAATAGAAAAACATCCCGCGCAAGTTACGCATACATACACTGCCATCGAGCTGTTTTCATTCGAACATCCCTGACGAAAAGTGCTCTCGTCACTCCGCAGCAAACGCATCAACGTAACGGCTGGTAAAATTGTTGTGGCATAACTCACAGGAGACAGACACATCGATTATCTGAGAAACAAGCGAACTCGCGGACGGACTGCTGTATTCCGCTCCGGGGGCGCATCATGTATCTCTTGTGACTCTCACGACAAATCGACGCCGATGATGCCTACCGTAATTGTTGGATCCGCGGAGTTTCGGCAGTGCTCGCCTCTTCGCGCTGTAAGGGGCAACGTCCCCCCTCGCTGGTTGTTTTTTTCAATTTTCTCGCGTCCTTTGTGCCGCCGCCGGCTGTCTCTGTCTGGAGTAGACTAACGGCTCCTATTTAGCATGATTTTTTTTTTTTTTTGTCCTCTTCCTCTCTCTTCTACACTATTTAGTACAGTTCCAGAAAATTTCGTCCGACCTCTGCGCACGTAGATAAGTTTCCCGGCGAGATGATAATGCATGAGAAAGTAGAGGTGTGCATAGATGCAGAACTGCATGTAGAACACGCAAAGTTTCCCGGGGTAGCCCACAGGCTGTGCATTCAACGTCCCGGAGATGCAAAAAAGAACTCTTGTCGACGCGAGTTGCTTCGGGGTAAATACAGGTTACCGTAACCTAAACAGGCAGCACGTGCATACCACCCAGGAGGAGGACCATTCACTCACACCGAAGCATCGAGGACCACGCTATGAATGAAAGAGTCCGCCGTGCGATTGAAACAAATCCTCGTCTTTACACTGCAACACCGTACCTGAGCACAATCTCGCCGCAATGCCGCCGTTGGGTGTGTTCTCGCATTTTCCCCTCTGAGATGGTATCTGTTTTCGCCATCGTACGTCAACGAGGAGAATTGACACCATGTTGCACGTGTGCATACATTTATACGCAGTACCCAACCCGGCGTTTTGCGGGTGGTTGATTTCGTGGCGATAAACTGAGCGTTATAGAATGCTCCCTCGCTCCCTCTCTGACGTTGTGTTTCGCCCGCAGAATGTGTTGTGAAGCTCACACCAAGCAGTGAGATTCAAACAATGGCAGCAGCAAGCAACGTACGTGGTTGCATTAGCACCACAACTAACTGCTTGTTTTTTTTTTTCTGAAAACGTATCAATGAGCAATTAATTCAGAATCGTATGCACGTGCGTCTGGAGCCTTTGTCTAGGCAGGGGACGCAGAGTATTCTCGGTGTGGTTACAAGCACTCCTCGGTAATTGTTGCCCAGAGGTAGTGCATGTTCCCTCCCCGCACGGAAATGTACAGACAGGGTGCTACCGGGGTGCTACCATGTTCTAAAGTGTCATGAACACGCACATACCACGTGTTCTCTTCGTGACATTATTCTCGTCCTTGTCCTTGCGGTCTCCCTCGTTTGCGCTCTCTGTGGCTGTCTGTCTGTCTCTGTCGTGTGTGTCGGTTTCGCTGGCCGATTCTCTGACTCTCTCCGCACACTCCTCTCTCTCTCTCTCTCTCTCTCTTCTCTCTCTCTCTCTCTCTCTTTCTCTCCCGTCCGGTTTGAAACAGGGTTTCGTAGAGACTCAGCGGATGACCATAAGGGAAGGCGGGATGTTTATTGGCGACGCCAAGGTACGCAGAACGTCTTCATCGCAGTTGACATTGACTTCCGTCTGTGGGGAGGGGGGAGCTCCAATGTGGTAGCCTTGACGCAGGCAATGAGGTTGTGAAGGTGGTGCAGAAGAGGGCAGCGCTACATGGAGACGAGTGCACCAATTGCGCTGCGACATGGTTGTAAAGCTCACCGCTCAGTGGCATTGCCTAGTCAGGCGCAAAACGGAAGGCAGCATGTCGTCCTATCCTTCCCGCGTGAAGGAAGCAACCATGGGACGCGTGAAGCAGCATGCCTTCCCTACGTTTTTGCATGCGTTTTGTACCTAGGCATCATGCACAACATGAGTATCCTCCCCCCCCCCCCC